ATTCATTCATTCATTCATTCATTCGAATTGTATACCGCCCATCTGGCTACCAAGGTGAAAACCCCAGTCTCTGAATTTGGAACACTTCTAAGTCTGGAATATTACTTTTTGAATGGGGAGAAACTGTTCAGTGCATTTAAGTTTTGGATGGGGCCAACTGGTTAGATTTCGTTGACAAGACTTTCATTCGAGTCACTGAAGAGATGAAACTCAAATATCCATTTCCAAAGCATGGAAATAGCTGGGTTTGTAAAATTAAAGTGTTGCCTCTTCCATTCCAGTTCTAGCATCCAGTCCCTAAATCAATTCTACTTCCTGTTTCAACATAGCAGAAATATACGTTTCACAATTTACTCACAATTTCTGGGCGTGGCTGATACGGTTGTAAAGAACATTGATCTGGAGAAGGGAGAAAAACATTCAAAGGGAAAAAAATCAGCATTAATTATCCTTGGACAAAGTTTTTCTCTGTGGAAATCCTTTTTTTAAAAAAATGCTTTTCATAATTCTTGGTATATATTCTGCTTCATTGTTATGGCCAGCTAATTTAATTTAGTCACAATTTTTGATGAAGTTTTATTACTCTCAGTCACAAAGGCTTAATGGGTCAAGGCCATGTTTTCATAACTTGCTATGAGTGTTCATAATAACTCCAATATATATATAAAGTCTCCATTATCATTACATGTTGCTGACCCAGAAAACCCTGATACCTGAGGATTATACCCAGAAGTCCTCACACTTAATTTAATTTAGTCACAATTTTTGATGAAGTTTTATTACTCTCAGTCACAAAGGCTTAATGGGTCAAGGCCATGTTTTCATAACTTGCTATGAGTGTTCATAATAACTCCAATATATATATAAAGTCTCCATTATCATTACATGTTGCTGACCCAGAAAACCCTGATACCTGAGGATTATACCCAGAAGTCCTCACACTTGCCAAAATCCTGTTGCTTAGTAAATTGCACTGAAGTAGGCCCAATGAATCAATGAGGATTTGGTGAGCCGACTCCTCTATGAGTTCTATAGATTCAAGTGGACCTATTCTTAACTATGACTTACTTTAGTATAGTAAGTCACAATTACAGTAGGTCCATATGAATCAACAGAACATACAGAGGAGCTGACTTATTAAACCTGATTGATTCAATGGGCCTATCCTAGTGAGATTTACTACTCTAAGCAACAGGAGTTTGATCACTAACTCTCGCCTTGTTGTGGCAGCCATATCATCAAGTTGGGGAACAGAGGGGAGAAGCAAAGTGGGGCTTTTTCTACCCTTGTCTGCCAGAACAACTATGTCTCCTCCCCCCAGGCGCTTGGAAAAGTTAACTGTTTTGGAC